GAGTTCAGATGGTGTCTTGGCTTTCCATGCCTTTTTACACCTCCCTTTATTCCAATACTTTTTCCCTGTGCCATTCCACATTATTACAAATAACTTCATTTCTGGACATTTATGGTTTGATTTCTTTGTATGTATGGAACACTTGGGTTGTTACCAACATCTGGTGAAAATTTCACATCATTAGCACCTCTAGTAATATATTTACTGAGAAAAATGGTGACTGTTCAATACTTATTTTACCCGCTGTATCTTTTTATACGTTATTTTGACCAGATTCTCCATAACTCTGTACACAGAAAAGCAGCCCCCAGCCTGCAGACACCTTCCTCTGCAGTCCTTCCTAGAAGACCAGTTCTGGGCAGCAGGGTGGGTGAACCTGGGTCACGTCACCTTGGRACCAAAGTTTGGTTGTTTCACTTTTAATCCTCCCACGCAGCTTGTTTGTGTAGATTCTCACTGATCCGGGACTTTGAGTCTTGTTTTTGTTTAATGAGATCCGTTTCCACCTGCGTATAAAATAGAGGCTCGGCTCCTGTTTGGTAAAGCAGGTGCTAACGAGCGTCTGGTAATCCTATATAATGATGGTCATTATGTAGGATTAATTTTATCCACCTGAGCATAATCCTAGGTTTTGTGCAAAAGGTGCCAGAAATATTCGATGCTTTAAACTCAGAGGCTGATCACATAAAACAGATTAGATTCAGAGGATAAAATATAGATTTTGAACCTTTCTGCACTTTAAACTGGAACAATTCAGAATTTGCTCTGAACTGTTTGAGTAAAATAAACATCACGTTGTCTCCGGTAAAACAGGTATTAGATTTATTTCATGGCAGAAGTCAACTTTTTAAAACTTTATATCATATTATGTCATTCCCTCATCAAACACACACCCAGACTGTTGCTTCGACTCGTTCATGCATGTTTGAGAAATCCTCGAATCTCCTCTGGTTTCCACGTGGATCTGCCTAAACACTTGTTGGTACAAAGCACCGCCTATTTACACAAAGCTCCTCCCTGGAGTTCAGTCCCCAGCTGAGCTCCGCCCCACAGCGCACCCCTCCCCTGAAGCACTGTTTGAAAAACGTGCCGAAGTGGAAATGTCCAAAATGGTCAGAGGTTCTTAGAGTCAGAGGCCAATATCAATGGGTTTTGTTAAATTTATTTTTGATTTAAACAACATTATCATAACAACTGAAGTTAACAATGACTTAGTACAGAATTGAACTCTATGCCTGGGAAATACACAACACCCCTTCTTTTAAAATAGACAAACAGGAGTAATGATGAGCTGCATTCAACCTTTGCACCTGCATGTGGTTAACAGTGTGCAACAAGCAAACATGGTTTGTTTTACATGAAATGCAACCATTGTTCCACTAAGCATGTGGTAAACTGATGTTTGACCATGTTTTTATTTTTAGGAGTCAAACCAACCCCACTTATTTAACCCTTAAAAACCAGTGTGTAGGTTTTCYTGATTTGACCTCATTAATTAGAAAATTAAAAGGAGCTATAACCAAAGTAGGTCAATGGTTAACAGCCTTAGTTGGCTGGTTTCAGTCTACTCCACCCACCTCCAGCCTAAAGGTACATCGATCATAAGCTTGACAATATCTGGTTCATCATTTGCCTTAGAATAGAGTCATATGTAGGATAAGTAAACCTGGAAGATGAATTMTTCTTTTAATTGGCTTCAAATATAATCATGTTATGGCACATAATGTTATCTAGCAAGAAAAAATAAAAAGAGAACACAGCTGTGCAATATATCATTGTATCTGTGTGAAACCTGATCTAATCAGACAGACGACTCTTTCAAACCACAGACAGGTCTACTTTGTTTACTTTTAATTACCTGACATCAATATGAACTACACGAACACCATCTGTTATTTATTACGTTTTTAATTATAGTTTAACCGCTTTGTAGCCCGTTCAGATAATTCAATAAACAGCCAGTTAGACGTTATTTACTTTTTTTTTTTACGTTACGTAAGGAATCAAGATTAAATTCTACATGGATTAATAAATTATACTGTTTACACTCATAGGTCCCACAAAACAGACTATAAAATATAAATGTAGCACACAGTTAGCATAGCTTAGCATCAGTTTAGGGCGGGAAACTGATAGCAAAGCTTAGCTTTACTTTGAGTGAATCAGAACATCCAAACTAAAAGAAAAAAAAACATTTTACAATTTGTCATATTTTGTTTAAATCTAATGTTAATCATTTCACAGGCTTTGTGTAGAAACATGTTTAAAAAATTTATTGGGAAACTAGGTTTACTTGTGCTAAATAGCTTTTAGTAAATATACTGTAGCTACACCTCAAATATTTTGGTATCACAAAAAAAGACCTCATTTTACACAATTTATACATTTTTTTATTAATAATTTTAGTTTTTACATTATTTCTTAAGCGTGAGTACACTTAACATGAAAACTAGTCTAGTGCTAAAATGAGCTAACCTAACCTAACATTAGCTGACAATCATAAACCCATTGTAGTGGTTTCATTGTTGTTTATGTTTTTATTGTTTAATTTAGGGGAATAAATGCATCCAGTAAATTAAAAATTTGCCAAAATATGCTTTAAAAAATGTAATGTTTGTCTTCTGAAGTCATAGAAATGGTTAATCTGGTGTTCCCAGGCTCCAATGTTCCCTAGTGGCACATAGCACACACGCAATGTTAAAAACATGTTTTTTTTTCAACTCTACAGCTTATATTCACTTAAAAACACAGGAAACTGTGGGTATACACAAGAGGATTATTTTGAGTTGAACCCTGACCCTAAGTCAAATACAATGACAATCATTGGTTTTATTATGTTTACAAAGCTGCTCTGAAACCATCCTTCTACAGAAACATTTCTTAATTCAGCTACTGTCTGATAAACTAATCTAAACAAATTAAATATATATACAGTCTAAAAAAAGAGATTTTTTTCCTTCATTAAGATGGCGTGTGAGACGGCAGCAGATCGTGAGGTTCCAGTCTGCTGAAAAGCTTCTCGGCATGCTTCGTGCACACACCACAGTAAGCTTTAGGTGTGTGCATTCATAAACAGAAGTGCAGATCAGAGTCTGGTTCCTTCGAGCTGCTCTCACAGATCGTATTCACAGCCGAGACGCACGAAAACCTCACGGCCAAACATGGACAGGTTCTGTGTCAACGCCATCAGACTCAGCAGATTTCATCCTCGGTGCAACAGACGCGCCAAAACTATTTCTGTCAGCGTGAATACGACRGTCGAGACATCTTCCATCTCCTACTGGACAGAGCATTGTTTGGGTTTCCACCGGCTTGATTTTTTCTCCGGAGGAAGCTTCTCCTTCACCAATGCTTTTACCTGATCACATGAAACACACAAACATGACCAGTGAGATGATTCATTTTCATTAACGTTCCTGTTCACTGACACCGGCTTCTTCCTGAAGCTGTGATGCCAAAACAAAAGACTCATGATCAGTGTGTTATTCCGAGGCTGTTGGTGATCCTGATGTCAGTAACTGGTGGTGTTGATGGATAGTTGCACAGCTTTTTCTTGGCGTGTCGTACTTTACAGTAAGTAGAAAAAGAAAATGAAGCACAAACCTGTTCAGCATCAGGAAACACTTGGGTCTCCAGCTTAGAGAAGACGAGCTCATCGCCCACAGAAACTTCAAAGCTGTCTGTTGTAGATAAAAATACAACAAAGTTCATGACCTACAAATACTTTATTTACATGTACATTTTACTATAAATACTTGAATACAACTGCTAAAACAAACCTGTCCTTCCTGTGACTCCAGTTACCTTCACATTAGGTAACTGTCTGAGGACACCGGCTAGTTCCTGGTAGCGAAATGCATAACTTCAGTCTTTACTGTAAAATAAAACAAATCGATATAGACAGACTTAAAACTGTACAGGTTTTTGAGTTCAGATACAACAGTAACATTTTATTGTCAAGAGAAAAATAAACAGATATTTAAATGTCACTTTATAAAAAAATAAAATAACCTAAAAGAGGAAGTGGACAAACCTACCAGTACTCGACAGTGATTGTGTTCATGGTGTCACAGCTGCCTGGGGAGCCGGAGGCTGCAAACTCTGAGCTCAGCTGAGAGGAGTGAGATGCTCGGGCAGAATTTCACTTTGTTAAAAGAGTGAGGAAGCCCCGCCCAGAGGGAGGTTAGACGGCTGCTCACATGCTCCTCCTCCTCCTCCTCCTCATCAGAAGTAGCTCAGTTTCAGCTCCTCAGGATTTGACYGAGACGCCCCATCAGCGAGACGATGCAAATCCCGCCCTACGTGTTCACCGCCGACCCGCTCCTCTCAGCAGCACCTTATCGCACAGGTGCACCGGCGTGATCAGAGGTTCTGCTCATCAGAACTCACTCAGCACAGGTCCAAATGTGAGGCAGCTGCAGAAAACAACAGAGCCACTGTCTCACTAAAAAATCCCCTATCCTTCATGACTTTGTGATGGCTCCATCGTTTGATATCTAAATGTAAAACTGATTTTTACATGAATGAACAAAGGTAAACAAATAACCCACAGCTGACACAGCCCAGTGGTGCAAGATGGTTTTTTAAAGCCTCTGATTATTCAGATATATATTAAACAGCAGCTGGACATTGGGCTGCAGGAAATATTCAACACTGAAGTTCCACTTTTTATTTGTTTAAAATGATACTCAGTACAAAATGTATACAGTAATACCCTTATGTTTGTCGTTTCCCCTGAATAAAATAGTTCAATCTGTTCAGCTCATGCCACGTAAGTATCTATAAGATACATTGGACTGGAATTTGCTCAAACAACAGCTGATGACAAAGATAAAGTAATAGTACCTTTGTAACAAGAAAAAAAATAATAATCAGCCATGTTCTGCTGGACACACGTTCAATACAATAAAATTACATACATTTATCTGTAAAAGCTGCATTGCGATCTGCCCATAATTTACAAGATTTTTTTAAATTCATGGGTTTTCTTTTTAGCTAAAAAGACAAAAACAAGTATGATACAATTTGTTTAAATGTTAAAAACATGGTGGCAAATTGCATTGTTGCAGTGACTCAGTCTCAGCTGTAACATCTACAATGCACTTGATTTTTTTTTTGTTTTGTTTTTTTGGTAAAACAAGGCAACTTGTTCAAACTTAATAAATAAACTTGTGTTCTGACACTGTACCTGCTCATAGATCCAGTTCATCTACATGTATGTTCAGAAACTTGTATAAAATCTTTTAAAAACCCTCTCCCCTCCCAAAGTTTGTTCTGGAAAAAAAAAGGTTGGTTTGCYCTCGATAGTGATTTAGTGAGACAGACAGAAACACGACAGTCTGGTTTCCATTGAAACACGCCGGTGATCGAGTGCAACTTCCTGCTTCTTGGCTCCGAGTAAAAACTGACCAGAACACACACATTTTCTCTCWCACACACTCACGCAGTCGTTCTGATCACAGCATCAGTTTCATTGATTGACGGGACTCTTTGACTCCGCCCCCCGGGTTGGGTGGGTCTTCGTGTGGAAACGTCACCTTATCTGGCGTGTACTCGTTCCTCTTCAGATCTGACAGGAAACAGGAAGCAGGAGGATTGACATCGTGCTGGAATTCAAACCTGATGCTTTCATGAAGTCTCAGATGTCTGTGTTTTAAATATTTGTGAAATGAAGCAGTATTTTTAAGGTTTACTGAGCTGAGACAACCTTTCAGTAACATTTACAGCAGCTGGGGTCTCACCAGGAAGTTTCAGCTTCCGACAGCAGGAGTTGCAGTGGTGTTTTGCGCGAAAGTTTCTGATGGCGTCATCTCCGAGGTTGGCGGGTCCAAAGATCATGTCGTAGGACCTACAGGGGTTACACAGGGGCCGTTAAGAGCAACGCTTTTATAAAGACACTCTAAGACGTGTTCAGTTAAGACCACTGACCCCTTCTCTCCACTCTTTATGACGGACGGATCCGTCAGCACCTCCCCCACACCTGCAGACAAACAGGTTTCTGTATGAACGATGTCACCAGGAAACACCTGAACCAACAAGCGCTTTGTTCTGTTCCCGTCATGTTTGTGTAGTCAAATCTCTGCTGCGGCGTTTACCCTGCAGGTCCAGCACCAGCAGCTCTCCTCGGGTGTACTCGTAGGTCCAGTGGCTGAAGGCCAGCATGGTTTCCTCCAGGAGGTTGGTGGGAATGATCTCCTCTCCGTTGTTGTTGTTGAACTTGCGAAACTCGCCGGTGATGCACTCCTCTATGGCGAACCACTGCCCGGCTGAGTGGCAGTACAACAGAAACACTTCGAGGAACCTGGACACACAGGGAGAGGTGGATGTCAGGACACACACACACGTTTGCACAGCTATCCATTTGGGGACATTCCATTGACTTCCATTACATTTCTACAGCCTAACCCTGACCACAAACCCTAAAGCTAACCTCACAGGTACCTACCTGACCCTAAAACTGACCTAAACTCAATTCACATCTTGGTCCTAAACCCAACCCACCAATGGCATTTAAACAAAATGGGGACTCCACTTTTGTCCCCAAATGCACCAGTTGTCCCCAAATGTAGGATTTTTGTCTTAAAATTGTCCCCAAATGTCACCAGAAACAACACACACTAGTTTTGTGATGAAACTTGTTACTGTCCAGGTTTCTGGTTTATTTACATAAACACATGATTAAGGTTTCTGAAAACTCTCTGTTGACAAAGATCTCAGATAAAACCTTCATTCACCAGGTTTACTGAGAAATAACTGTTTTTTATTTTTCCCTCACAGAAAGAATGAATAAAACCAAGAGGCTAAGGTGTGTATGAACACACTGATTGACGCTGGACGTCTCATTTGAAAGTGGAACAGGAAMTCCCGCTCACCTCGGAGAGTAGGGAATCGTCTTTGGCCTGATTTGGTTGAAGGCAAATGTCAGCTTCTGAGCGGCCCGCTGCTGCTGAATTTCCTGGAGTTACACAGAAAAACCAGTTCAGAAAGTCGTGACTCATCAGAAAACTGACCTGGATAATGAAGCTGAAAACACAAATGTTAAACAAATGAGCACACAGGAAAGTCCCTAAAGCTGCCCGTCTCAGGTCCTTCTCATCTGTGGCAGAGGATGGAGCCGTTTCGTACCCTGAGACAAAGATGCAGCACGGTGTCCTCCTTGTAGATGGTCTGCCACGTCTGGACCACCTCAGGAAGGAAGGACTTGACGATGTACAGATGTCCTGACTTCAGGATGTCGTACTCAGACCAGGTGCAGAGCACTTTGAGGGCCCGTCTCAGTCCTCCGCCCATCTCCTCTTTGCTGAGGAACTCGATTTTGGCGCAGAAGCCCTGCTGGGACCAGGAGGACATGCTGTTGTTGATGGTGTTGGGAGAGCTCTCCTCCAGTCGGTACACAGTCACCGGCTCCCCTGGAGGAACACAACATCTGACAGTCAGCCTCTGTTCTAAGCTTCATTCGGCTTCAAGAAAATACTGGAGGACATTTGTAAACGTCACAGTTCATCACAAACTAAATGTACCGTCATCACAGAAACAGAGACGAGCCACAGGAATAATCCTGTAAATTAATCTGTGACTTCATGTTCTCTGTAGAACAAAGCAGCTGTTCTGTTTTGTTCAAACAACAAAAAAGGAAGTTTGATAAGGAGTCATTTAAACCAACTGTTCAGGCTCAAAGCCACACGTCAGGTTAAATGTCCAGGAAAACTTTAAAGGGATCCATGATTAGTTGTAACATTAGACTTTATTTAACAAACATGTATTTTAACTGTAACATAAAGACTGTAAAAATACTGTAGGATGTTCAGTTTTTAACATTTTTAAACTACAAGTTTAAAAATATATTACACTGACGGGGCCATTTTATTTACATGCAAAGCATTCTGGGTAAATGATGACGTGGATAGGTCCTCGGTGCGAGGCTGCTAG